CCTAATAAACATTACACATACTTACAGTGTGTGTGTGTGTGCGTGTGCGCGTGTGTGTGTGTGTGTGTGTGTGCGCGTGTGCGTGTGCGTGTGCGCGTGTGTCGTATAACTTCGTATAATGTATGCTATACGAAGTTATTACATATGTGTGTGTGTGTATATGCAGATGTATATGTGCGTGTGTATATGTGTGTGTATGTATGTGCGTGTGAATGTATGTACCTGGGTGTATATTTGCACGTGTGTGTATGTGTCGTATAACTTCGTATAATGTATGCTATACGAAGTTATTACGATGTGTGTGTGCATATGTGCATGTGTGTGCATGTGTGTGCATATGTGTATGTGTGCGTGTGTGTGTTTGCGTGTGTGTATATGTGCGTGTGTGTGTGCATATGTCCGCGTGTATAAGTGTGTGTGTGTGTGCATATGTGTGTGCATGTGTATGTATATGCGCATGTGAGTACATGTGTATGTATATGCGCGTGTGTGTGCGTGTGTGTATATGTGTGCATAAGGGTGTGCGTGTGCGTGTGTGTATGTGTGCATAAGGGTGTGTGTATGTGTGTGTGTGTGTTTGTGTGTGTATGTATGTATGTATGTATGTGTGTGTGTGGGTGTGTGTGTGGGTGTGTGTGTGGGTGTGTGTGTGTGTGTGTGTGTTCGTATAACTTCGTATAATGTATGCTATACGAAGTTATTACATATGTGTGTGTGTGTATATGCAGATGTATATGTGCGTGTGTATATGTGTGTGTATGTATGTGCGTGTGAATGTATGTACCTGGGTGTATATTTGCACGTGTGTGTATGTGCCTATGTGTGTATAGGTGCACGTGCACGTGTGTGTGTGTGTGTTTGTGTGTGTATGTATGTATGTATGTATGTGTGTGTGTGGGTGTGTGTGTGTGTGTGTGTGTTCGTATAACTTCGTATAATGTATGCTATACGAAGTTATTACGTATGTGTGTGTGTGGGTGTGTGTGTGTGTGTGTGTGTTTGTGTGTGTGTGTGTGTGTGTGTGTGTAATTTTAAAGTGTCCTTGTAAATATTACACATACTTACAGGAGTATAATGAACAGAGGGCTGCGTACGCTGAGGTGAACCCAGCTGGTGGACCATCTGTCCCGAGGGAACCACATGTGCTGTTGACGACAAAGGAACAGGAGCACTGATAAAAGGTTTCTTGCCCACTGGAAGGAGAAAACCCTTGATTGACGCAAGTGTATGTGTGCACTTCGACCACTACATGTGTAGCATACATGGGGGTTTGTTCTTTGGCATGCGAAAACTAACCGCTCTTTACTTGACTCATCACTTTTTTGCAGTAATGATAATCTGCTCCCCCTTTCTAGACTTAAAAGTTAATAAAGCAACAAATTTTGAATATAATGAGATATCATACTGCAAATCAAGACATTACATTACCAATACAATCTAGTTTTAGTAAAAAAAAATAAGAGCTACATCCGTGCATTACCAACAGGAAATGAAAAACTAAAGCCAGCTTTTGGTCTGAAATGTCCCAACAGCTGCTGAAAAGCAGATCAAAGTGCACCTCCACAAAATCAAGAGTTTTTCACAACGCATTCATAAGAAAAAAAATAAATAAATAAACAAAAAGCAAACTAAAGCTATTTAAAATTCTTCTCTTCATGCTTGACAGTTTAACTTCATGATGAAAGATATCAATATATTGAAAACAAAAAAATATATATATATTTCTATAAGAAAAGAAACATTACAAATACAAATTAAAAACATGTGAATACATATGAATTTCACTATAAAACATCAAAAGCAAATGCATGCTTAATGTAGATATGCACTACATTTACTTTGAAATAATAAGAATGCAATTCATGTCAGTCTATTCTTCACCAAACAGATTCTTGTCTTCAAATCTTACTCATTCAACTATCCAAGCCAAGTAAAAGAATGCACTTCTACTGGGTTTTGAAATTAAATACACACAGATCTACAAGTAAGGTTATTCATATTTCTTTTTCTATGAATCTGCAGATATATATGTATGAAGATAAAAATGGAATTACATATGATGTATGTCTTTTGCATATATACAAACACCAGTAGGTGACTGATAAACTTGTTTGCATAGATACTAAAATATATGATTATATAAGTAAATAAGTAAATAGAAATGGAATAAAACACTTCTACCTTGATACAAAACTAACAAAAAAACAAAGACACATCTCTCTTACAGAAAAAAGATGCAGTGCACTAAACTTACACGAGACATCTGCTTGTAAAACAGCTTGTCTTACATCTTCCATTAGGCTAGTGGGAGACCTTTTGTTGGGACTCACATCCCGATCATTTCTTTGCTGTACACTATCCGTTTGGAGATCCCTGAAATTTGCATCAATAATATTGGATTACCACTTTGCTACTGCAGGGTATGGGGATTATTAAAAGCAAAATCTAGTAAGAGCTAAGTGTGATCCTGTGCCTAAGAGAACTGAAAATATTACATGAGCAATTACTAGCATATACGCAATTTTTTTCCGACAACATACAAATTGAAAGGTTGATGACAAGATATGATTTGCCATGAAATATCTTTTTTAAGTCATTTCCAAGTGCAAAAATTATATTACCTTTCCTTTCTGAAACACATCAGAATGCACACACTCAAGCATTTATGCAAAAAATAAGTTACAATATTTACAATAAAGAGGATCTTAAGCAATTCAAATGTTACATGTATAAAGCAAATAAGAGGAGTGAGGCTGAGAAGGAAGAGAAAAGAGAGGTTACCAATGGAGAGAGGAGGGTGAGGGAGGTAGGAAGGTGAGGGGAGAGAGAGAGAGAGAGAGAGAGAAAGAGAGAGAGAGAGAGAGAAAGAGAGAGAGAGA